GTTTCACTTTGGATTGGTTCAAAGACAAAATGCAAAAATTCTAAAGAATCTGTGGGAGTAGTCTGGATTTCAGAATTATTTCTGTCTGTATTTGTTGCAGACAATAACACTGATTTTACTGTACTGTACGTTTCCTTCCTCTGTTAGATGRTAGTAAAATATTCAGCACTTATCGTTTAGAGTTTTCTATTTTTTACAAGTTACAGTTACAAATATGTCATAGTTTATTACAGCATATTASGAATACATTACTGAATAATTGTATTTATTTGTAGTTAATATCTTGGTTTTCATCTTGCTGTCAGGTTCTGTATATGAATTGTCGGGAAGTGAAGTTTGCTTTTCTACTGGGGATCTAATAAAGGTTATTGGTATAGAACTTCAGTCAGTTTCCTGTGAGGATGTCTCCAACAATGAGAAATTTGAGCTACCAATCAACCACACAGGTTAGTAAGAAATATATATAAACAAGAGTGTTATGTTAGCGAGGTTCACTCACACACGGTTGTTTTTCAGGGTTGTTCAAGGTTGTCCCAGAGCAGATGCCGTACAGTTCAGTCAAGGAAATGCTGACCCTGAGGCCTGTAGGCCTGGAATCTTCTCTACCGTTCACCTTCACCAGCCGCTCCAAAATGACCTTCGGCGGTCTCACCCTGGGGGCTGGGAAAGCTCTGACTGTGCTCTCCATCGAGCGGCATGAGGGTGAAGAGGACCAAGTGCGCTGCCTAGTCAAAGGACAAGCAGATGCCTCAGCTGAAGTGCAAATTCCCATGTCCTCTCAAGGGCAGTTTTACGAGTGTGAAAATGAAGAGTGCTATACTCTGAAGGAGATCATGTCGTCACCCTTCCTTCGCAGTCGAAGGTTTCGTTTGATCAAGAACACCAACTGTGAGCGGATCCTCGTTCTCAGCCCAGTTTACCAAATCCAGGCCATCATGAACTGTGAGAACAAACTCTTAATTTCATAAATCATAATTAAAAATTGTAATATTTAGGTTTTAAGTTTGTGGACCAATATGAAAAGCATACTCATTTACTAACAGCACATACAATAGGATGGTTTGTTTTTGCATTCACAAAGCATCAGTAAAAGCTATAATTCAACCTAGTAAATATATAATTTCTGAATAATATCAGAGGCAGAACTTTCCATAATTTTTTTTGCCACTTCAGTAGAAAACAAAACTGAATGTTAGTTTCTTAATTTCTGCATCATCATTGGCTTTTTTATTTAATTTTTTTCACTCAAAATAAAATGTATACTGTACAATAATTAAAAGTTAGAAAAATAAAAATAAAAAATAAGTTCTGAATGAAAAGGGTGCAGAATGAAAAAAAAAACAATCTGCCWTATGAATAATGGCAAAACTGATCAAATTATTAGTAATTATAAGGAGCTTCAGATTCCTAAACTAATACGGATTTCAAACACCACACTGCTAAAGTGCTATGAGGAAACAGACGAAGAAAAAGTTTTGAAATTACACTTTTTTGCRATGCAAAATCTATGATTCTGCGCTGCAGCCATTTAACCAAAACATCCGGTTAATGTTCAAGGATTTTTTTTTTCTGCGTAACGTGTAAGCTGTGGGTTTGGGCGGCTTCTGTCTTTCACAGAAGTTGGAGCTTACTTTCAGTATTTGTTAGTTTCTCCATGCAGCAGAAGGAAGTGAGGGTGTCGGTGTTATACAGAATCTGATCAGATTCCATTTGAAATCATAGAAAACAGAAATAGAGACACATTTTTAAAATAAAACTGGTAAATCATGAAAAACCCAATCTTACAAAATGGTGCAGAAATTCCTTTAGGGCTCTGGGGGACTCACAGTGACAGCCAGCTATGTTTTTGGAGATCAAGATTTGGCCTRTTTTTGTTCTGTTTGTTACACAACAAATATAGTTATTTCATTTTGTGATTTTCTAAATGCGACTAGTTGATATTTATTCAGTGACAAAACATGAATCTCATTGATGTTGAACTTTTACGGGAGGATGGAAAAACCAATTGTTCACTTTGTTTAGAGTTGCAGTTTGGTAGTCAATGTTACAGTTAATATAATAAAAGTTCCTCCACGTTTTTGCATCAAACTAAAACTTCGGTTGTCACGTAAAGCCTACCCCTGTAAATGCAAAAAGTTGTGCAAACAGCTTCTTTAACTTCCTCATTTACTTTTGTGGTTTTGAGCTGTGACTGCAACTCCTTTTTTTTGCTGCACTCGTCATTTGCCACCTGCCTTCAGCTCTGACTGCAGCTCAGCAAGGCAACAGCAATGGCAGGCACCATTGCTGTGCCGCTTCAAGAATATATAGCTTCACTGGATCAAACTAGTCTGCCAAATATCCTACAAGTTTGTTCAGGAGTGTATTTCCAAGGTGGGTTTACTTATTTATTTTTATTTAATTTTTTAAATTTAGAAATAATAAAAGTTTCACTTTGGATTGGTTCAAAGACAAAATGCAAAAATTCTAAAGAATCTGTGGGAGTAGTCTGGATTTCAGAATTATTTCTGTCTGTATTTGTNAGAACAGTAAAGAGAGAAACCGATAGAAATTATACAACATGTGAAATGAAATAACACACAGGACACCACACCTGACATTTGACCATCACACACAATCAGGCACATACACAAACGAACATACACATATACATACACAAACATGCATACATACATACCTACATACACACACACACTCACATACACACACACACATACACATATATACATACAGTGATTGTCAGAAACCCCAGGATCCAAATGTTTATTTTTGTGCAGTTGTGAACATGCATATAAATACAAGATTTCTCCAGTGGAATATTAAATAGTGACTGTGGAGGACCCCAGACCCGACCCCCAAGACACAAATTTGAGGTCATAACTATAGAAATGTTTGTTTCGTTAAGGTGCAATGTAATTTTGACTCCACAACAATCAAGATAAATTCTGTTTTCACTCTTTGGTTCATGTAGCGCATTCATTTTGTTATCTTTTTTTTTCTGTGCAGTGAGGAAGAATGTGCTGAAGTTCCCGTCCAGCTTAGAAGTGGATGTGGTTGACGTCACCGATCTGTGCAAAAACGCGGATTTCGTGACGCCGCTCAGTTTGACAGAAGTGCTGTCTCAGCCTGACGAATTCTTACCTGCCGTAGTGGAGATATTAGATCAGCCAGAGAACCGCTCCTTGTTCAAAAGCAGCTGGCTGCAGGGACTTACCAAGAGCTCACATTTGGTTTTTCACAAGAAAAGAAACACCACCATGGTTGTGTTATCGAGCCTGAAGGGCCGGAAGGCTCAGCAGTACTTCCTGGTATCCCAACAGTACGGCGGGCGCTTTCGGAGACGGCCGAGAGAATTTAAYTCGGTGTATGAGTTGTATGTTGCTTCAACCCAGACGCAGGGTCTGACGGTCAGCGTGACAAAGAACTGCGATGAAGTAGAGGAGGAAGGCCTGCCTGCCCTCAGCGTCGGAGAGAAACTGGAGATTGTGGACTGCACCCGAATGGAGCTGCCGGGCGAAAGCAGCAAAGGCAAGACGCAATCCGTTGAGGCTCTTTTGTGCCATCGTCTTCAGGAGCCAGAAGATCCAGATGACGATGACAGCGAGGAAGAGGTCAAAGAGGAAGACGAGAAAGAGGTGGTTTTGATGCCCCTCTACATGCAGGGTCACTTTGTAGAAGTACTGAGGGATAACAAAAAGCATAAACTCTGTGACCTGAGTAAGGAGTTTAGTTTGCCACTGGATGTGAAAGTGGTGAGCCGTGATACGGAATCCGAAACTGATCCACTGGTTGGGATGTCTTGTCTACGAATAGAGGGGGTACTGTTGGAGCCCACTATTCAGGCAAGCTTTCCACACAAGCCTGACCACTGTTTTGAGCTCCCAGCCAACTGGCTCTGTATGACTGTCTGCCACACCAAAGAGCCCCTGCCATGGCCTGAAGGTCAGCGCCCCAAGTGTTTCACAGAAAGGGTCACCGAAGTGTCGGACACATTCTTTTATGAATTTCGGAAACAGGGTAACACCGATGAGGCTCCTCCACCTCGACCGCCAAAACGAGCTGTGTTGTCATCCAAAACATCGTCAAAACCCTCAAAGAAATCAACTAAAGTCAAAAAGTCCAAACAGCAAGCAGCCAAAGATGTCCCAACTGAACAGTTCAGTGCTTTAACTTTAAACAAGAAGCGAGCACCAGCTCCACCACCACCTGAAGTAAGTACGGCTTTATACAGAGGCCCGAAAGCTGCTTCACGTCTTTCTGTTACATTTTCACATTGTGAAAGCACTTAACAGTTTCTTGTAATGCTGCTTTCACGTAATCTTTGTGCAGKCAATCTTTTTTTAATACTGTGGTCATGTGTAAAAAAAAATTGAAATACTCTGACTTCCTCTTTCTATGAAGGATAGCTTAAAGGATGAACCTCCTCCTCTTGTACCACGAAAACCCTCTGAAGTAACAGGCAAGGCGAAGCCTAACACTTACGTGAAAATACAGGAGTCAAAGAAAAAAGGTACAAAACTTTATTTTACTTGAAATAATGTCACGTTTCAAAATGAGGACAGCATTTTGTTTGGCAAAAAAAAAAATCTGATGTATATTGGGACTATATCCAACCACAGATTGTTGCAAATTTTGAACATTTATGGCACCAGAACAATTTAGGATCAACTGACAAGATGTGGTGCTAAGTTTGCTACACAAAGAGAAACAAAATGATCGTCAGAAGGTATTTTTTAGGTCAAAATTAATTATTTTTTCTTGCATCTTTTGACAAAAGAGTAGGGGGTTGGATTCTGGAAAAAAAAATTCAGTACAATGTTTTGAATTTGTCGAGTAAATAAAGCATACCCAGACTATAAAAGTCACAATGTAAATATAGACCGAATAAAACATTTACTTTCTTTCTGCAGGGCCCCTGTGTGAYGTGACTGCAGATGTGGACAGTGACCATGACTACGAAATTGTGAACGACTCTTTGGTATCTATGAAGTCAGCGCAGGAGAGTGTTGCATTTTACTAAAAAAACAAACAAACAAAAATCCAAACTGGCCRTCTTTAGTTGCTGTCAAGTATGACACGAGCAGTGAGAACCGAACTTAATATATATTTAGTACAGCATGAGCGCAAATCATAAGCCCCTTTACGGATCTGCCATCATCTATTTTTATTTTTTTGTTGAAACTTGTAACTGTTTAGTAACTACTGAGAGATTTTCTTTGAATACATTTAATTTTTATTTTTGCATCTAAAAGGTACTCAAGATATTAGTAGCTGTTCCACTCAAACTTTGTCCAAATACTGCACTTCTGTTGAATGTTTTGATGAAACTTTAGAGGGCTAAAGCTTCTGKTTTGTATTTATATGGTGCAATACTAAGAAATTCATGCAGGTCCTCAAAAAATTAGCATATTGTGATCAAGTCCATTATCTTCTGTAATGTACTGATAAACATTAAACTTTCATATATTTTAGATTCATTGCACACCAACTGAAGTAGTTCAAGCCTTTTATTGTTTTAATTTCAATGATTTTGGCAAAAACATAAAGAAAAACTAAAAATCCCTATCTCAAAAAATTAGCATATTTCATCCAACCAATAAAAGAAAAGTGCTTTTAATACAAAAAAAGACGACCTTCAAATAATTATGTTCAGTTATGCACTCAATACTTGGTGGGGAATCCTTTTGCAGAAATGACTGCTTCAATGCAGCGTGGCATGGAGCCAATCAGCCTGTGGCTCTGCTGAGGTGTTATGGAGACCCAGGATGCTTTGATGGCTGCCTTAAGCTCATCCAGAGTGTTGGGTCTTGTGTCTTAAGCTCTTCCAGAGTGTTGGGTCTTGTGTCTTAAGCTC